CCAGACCCCGGTGCTAAGACATTGTGAACCTGATTGTCGGCCAGTGATAGTGGTTTATGCCAGCAAATGGGCGGTATCCGCAGCTTTGTTGCAAGAACACGAAGGAGTGAATTGGCCTGTTATGTTCACCAGTCACACGTTAGAACTGAATGAAATTAACTAAGGTGTGGTGGAGAAAGAAGTCCTGGCCCTGCTCCAGATATTAGATGTTTGTTATGCACTACTAGTATCTCGGGACCTTAAGGTGCTCACACGGTATTCAACTCTGGCGTGGTTGATTCAATCATCGGGCCTTAACGGAAGACTTGGAAGATGGGCAGCTTTACTGTCAACTTAGACCCTGGAGATTAACCGATGCAACAAAGGAGAGGACGAAATTCTTGGCACTCTTGCCGCAAGTATCACACCACGGGAGGATGTGGATGAAGTGCTGATCGCGGTCGCGCCCCGGAAGCAACCGAGACAGATTATCCGTATGCCGCCCCCTACGGTTAGCCGCAAAGAATCTCTTCTTGTCGTCAGCTTTGATGGAGCAGCTCGTATCAAGAATAAAGGGGGGCGCCTACAATGAAATAATACGGAAGCTTCCCGAGTGGACTATAGTATCGGCTGCGTCGCGATACGACACTGGGTTGACCGTGAATGAGGCAGAGTACCATGGGTTGCTGCTGAGTTGCGAGTTATTGGTCAAGCAGACAGGGGGACGAGTGGCCATTTGTGGGGATTCCAACCTGGTCATCAGGCAGATGAGGGGTGAAATTGACTGCAAGGCACCGGGACTACAGTTACTGCGTCTCAAGGTCCTAGATCAACTGCGATCATGGCCAACTCATAAATTCTTACATATTAAGCGCGATTGGAATCAAAGCGCCGATATACTAGCTAGCTCCGCTTTACAGCTGGAAAAAGGCATGGTCAGACTAACGGAGCAGGTTTGTCATGATTTACAAGCGATGAACCGACTGGACGAGATATTAGTACCAGCGACCAACAATCAAGTGGCCAAGATAACGGCGATCACACGATCATCCATACGGAGGCGTGAAGTGCCCACGATTATGCAAGAGGAAATAATACAGCAGATACGACTGGAGCGCATAAAGCAAACACAAGATGAAAAAAGTTGGATCACCAACCTCAAACTTTACTTAGTCGGGGATGTGACCGAGTTGGATACTACGGAAGCAAAAGAAAGTGCGGTTATTGCCTCGGATTACGTGGTGGATGAAGGTGGATAGTTAAATTTTACCCACGAGCAGCAGCAAACCCCAGTGACCGCGCGGATCTCGTCCGTTTGGTGGTTCCGGAATTACTGCAAGATGATGTCCTACACTACTACCATGCAAGTCTGGAAGGTGGTCACCAAAGGGTAGGCCGAACGTATCACCGCGTGCGATCGCACTTTCATTGGAGAGGCTTGTTTAGAAGCGTGCAAGGTACGTGGGGAAGTGTGCCGACTGCAAAACCGGTAAAGGATGTCCGATCCTACGAGGCGAATCCCCGGGGAATTTACACGCCACGTACCCGTTCCAGATCATTGCAATGGATCATATCCCCTCGTTACCCAGGTCATTAAAAGGGAATACCGAATTGTTGCTTTAAGTAGATTTTTATTCTGGCTGCGTGATCGCTAAATCTAGCTCGTCAAGGACGGCCCAGACGATCGCGGAAAGGTATGAAGAATATGTCTTCCGGCGTTTTGGGGCAAGTGAATCTATTCGTCACGACCGCGAACCCGGATTCATGTCGGATTTCTTTCGCGCGTTCAACCGCATCGCTAGTCAGGAACAACGTGCCACAATGGCGTATCGGCCTTGATCCAGTGGTACAGCTGAACGTATGGTCCAAACATTGACCAGGGCGCTAAAATGTATGTCACGGATGTGAACCAACAAGATTGGGACGAATACGCTGATCGCCTGACCTTCGCCACCAATACGGCCCATGACCGAGTACGGGGTGATACACCGTTCTATCTTATCCATGGTTGGGATCTGCGATCAACGCTGGAAGCGACCTTGCCGTTGGAATGTACTAATATACGTGATCGGGATCCCCGGAGATGGTGCTATCACATACAGCGGCAATATCAACGAGCCCGCGCTACGGTGAATGACCGACTTAAGGACGTTGTTCGAGACCGAGCTGACCAATACAACGCTGATCAAGGGCCAAATGGAATCAGCCGCGGTAGCCAAGTGTGGCTATATTTGGATCGAGTGAAGGAGAGATATGCCGGGAAGCTAGCTCACATGTGGCACGGCCCGTTCGGGTAATCGAGAAGAGCGGGGGACATGCAGTGCGGTTGGAGATACAAGGACCCCATACCGATTGTTCCCACTCGTTCACGTATCCAAGCTGAGGCTAGAACGAAATTTCCCTGATCAACCTGCTGCGCGGCTGGAGGTGGAAGAAACAGAGTGTGTTGATTTTGACAAAGCTCTGCTTCCAGGAGACAGCTGGGAAAACGATCTAGCCGAAGGAGAACAAGAGGTGAATAGTATTTAAGATGTGAGAACAGGACGAAAGGTACGGAAGGGTACACCGACAGTTCCTGGTCTGATGGAAGGGTCATAAGGATGAGACTTGGGTGGATGAGGCAAACCTCAATTGTGGTGCTTTATTGCAAGAGTTTGAACGTGATTGAGCTAGGCGAAACCGTTTTGAAGTGATGCAAGTACCTGAGGAAGAATCCAGATGATAGGGTGACCATGGACGGTAAACGCGGCCTTAAAGGATGGGGACTGTATAATATGTAAGAGAACGAGGGATGACCACGTGAACCATGAATGTGAAGGAGTGATGTGGTCAACTAACATGGTGATCATACAGTTAAGATGATTAAAAACGGTGGCCGCGGTCTAGAAACACTGTGACCGCCTGGCCTGTGAAAGGATGAGAAATGACTACGTAAGCTTTGGATGTGAAGGAGTTGCATGGTCAACCAAAGCGGTGTACACAGAATCAAGGAAACATGGTGAACAGACTTTTATAGAAGAGATTTTAATAAGCAGCGACTGGTGGTCATGGCTGTGACCATAAACGTCATGGTCTCCCATGCTGCAGACACCTTTTCACTGCGCTACAAACTTGGTCCGGAGACGGTCGATGGACAAGCCTGGGTGGTCAGCAATGGCTGCCCGATATTGATTGCCCCAGGGGTCAGCGGAATCCGCAAGTAGTAAGGCTGAGGCCAGATTAGGGATGTTAGTCGGTCGACAGCAAAACCCTGGATACCACCAACATTCCTCAAACCGTCCTAAGAATTGCAGGAAGAAGGGGTCCAACAGGATGTCTAGTAGAATTGACCCCGATCAACCCCTCCTACACGATCCAGAGTACAGCCTTCCACTGGGGGCTGGACCTGGAACGCCGACGACGCCTTTCTTCATCGAAGACGCTCAATCCATGGTCTTTCGCGCGACTTGGACAGGCGATGATCGGGAGCACATGAGTAGACTCCCATAACGCCTGGCGATGATAGTCTTCGAACTCACGATACGCAATCATCAAAGCTTGAAACCAGCCAGTCGGGCGGAATGACACAGGCGCATTAGGCCGATCCAAGACGTCCCAAGGTTTTTGGCTGCATAAAGCAGCGATCTGGGCGGAGGTCACTAGCCGCGGGGACCTCTGAGCTTCAGTTGGCGGACGCAGGGAACCGTGTGGAACATGGAACAGATTGTGATTGGGCCGGGAGTAGTGGTGGAACAAGTGATCCAAGTCCAGGTGACCTACAGTGACCAAGCCCAAGCGATGGATGACCACGGCGAAAACTGGCGAGGGGCATAAGTTGCACCAGTGCGATACCCAGGTATCCACTTATCGCGCGAGGAACGCACGGGAGGTAAAGCTTTGAAGGCGGTCGGGGATAAGAGCTTGTTTACTGGGGCATGACCGTAGCTTGGTACCCTCACCGACCCATCGGACTCGTCGGACGCCCTGGGTGGCTCTGTGGTCGGAGGTGTCGCAGCGATGGGCGGTGACCGGGAGACGGCTGATGAAGTACGAGTATCACGTCTTGACGGATCCGGACGAGCCGCGGGTGTTTGAATGGCTGGATCGATCTCGATCGGAGTATCATCCATCCCGTTAGCAGATCTTGTGGCCGAGACAGAAGACCGCCGTCGAACGGAAGAACGTGACCGTGACAGTGCGATTAGTATGGCCTTGTCAGCAGATTCTACGGAGCCATCGCTATCCTGTACATGAGGAGCGAAGGGGAAACGCGCTCGTGTTTGCGTCTGTGACCGCCGAGTCATTACAGACAGTGGCGTGATCACCGTCTTGAGCTTGGACGATTTTCTGGTCGTACGTGCTGAGATATTGGGGACGTCGAGGCGAAGGCGAGACGCCTGCCGGGGATTGGGGTGAGTGGATACCGATCGTGATGGGTAGTTGGGCCGGCGGGCCCTGCGACCGTAGAGGAAAGGCTGGCAGGCGATCTGGTTCGACCGCAACGCTAGGATGACCGGGTAAAATTCGAAGCGGATCGCTGTTGGGTCACATGGTCTACGGGCGGGGCCACGTCAGATGGTGACCTAGAAGCCGACTCGAGGTGACCGTAAGCGCGCACGTTTGTTACGGGATGGCACAGGATCGGCCGCTGACTGCTCTCTCCGCTTATCATGCTCCCCACGCAGAAGTGACCGCCCTGCCAACCCGCGCAAGGCGTGTGATAGTTGGGTGGGCTGGAGGCCCTACTGGCTGAAAAGTCCCACAGTGTAATGAGAGGTGCGGGTCCTTTTAGGAGTTCAAGCTGAGTCAGAGTACTCGCCGTTCACCCTAGGGTGACCTGAAGGACCGCGCGGCATAATTATCTCTCCGCCACTTTTCATAGGCGAGCCCCACCGACGGCGGAAGCCCCGTGACGAGGTTGACCAGATGGCTAAGCTAGGCCTGGCGGTCGCGAGTAAGCAGATCCCTTTCTGCTTTTAACAGTGCTAGTTCCTCGATCTGAGCAGCATGGGAGGATTGCAAGCGGTGAAGCTCTTGGTGGCTTAATCGCGCTCCGTTTTCGATTGGTCAAGCTCCCGACCACGTTGTGCAAAGCTGCGAGCAAGCGCATCGAAACTTATCCGCAGTGGAGGAGCACGCAGCTCACTTTCCGCTACCGCTCTCCGTAAGTCTTCACACTCCTTAGCTAACTGGTCAACCTCGGTCGTGTCCACGTCATGAAATTGGTCACTACCCACGTCAGCATCGGCAGGATCAGAATTGGCAGAAGAGGCATCGTCCGCCGGGGCTTCATCAAATCCGACCGAATAGCCAGTAGCGCCGGCATGGTGGTCAGCCGGAGCGGGGTTGGCGAGGTGGTCAGCCGGAGCGGGCCGGCTTAGTCAGACTCGGCAGTGTCCACGTTGCGCACTTGGTCGCTACTCACGTCAGCATCGGTAGGCTCAGCATCGTCAGAAGAAGCATCGTCCGCCAAGGCGTAATCAGATCCGACCGAAAAGCCAACTTGGTTGGCGAGGTGGTCAACCGTATCGGGGTCGTCGAGGTGGTCAGGCTCGGTCGCGTCTGGTTCAAGGCCAGTGTCATCTTCCTCATCAGGAGCAGGGGTGGCCGACCGTAGCGGAGTCAGCTGAGGAGACGTCGAACCTAAAGGAAGGGGTTATTCAAAGGCCTGGTGGGACGGAAGCGATATTTTCAGCAATGACCAAGGGAAGGCTGATCAAAAAGTGCTCAGCCAGATCGGCACCAGCTGCCGACTACAGAGCAGGGGACGGCTGTGGTGAAGTGGTCAAAGGAAATGCTGACCAATCGCCTTGATCACCTCGTATGTGCATGTGGGACCGGTCATGCCGGTCTTGGGACTGATTGCTGCAAAAATCTCCAACGTTAATCTGGACGGTTTGCAAGTCATCAGTGGCGGTCACAGATTATGACCACCGGTTAAGGTCACGACGAATGATTGACCGGTCACGGTCACGATGGGTGACCAGTGGTCACGGTCACGACGGGTGACCAGTGGTCACGGTCACGATGGGCGACCAGCGGTCATGTTGGCAGTTAAGTTGGTTTACTTCAAGCACAGGGAATGGGTGGTGGCAGGCGAACAACGTAGCAGAAAACTGAGATAAAGAGAAGTGTAAACGTAGTTCTAGCCCCTAATTGGTTAATAACGACTAGTATTGATTTTCCTAAAAAAGACACGCGTCAGCATTCCTCCGGGCTGGAATACTAGTGGCCACCAGACGTACGAGGTTTACTGTCTATGTGTTTGTTCAAGGTTTGTCCCTAGATTGCTTGGCTTGGGACGAGTATACTCATTCAAGTTAGCCCGCGATCGGACGCGGCAAGCATACAAGGCAAGGTCTTCAGACGGATCAAGTGATCAGAAGGACAAGGTGATCAAGTGGTCAGAAGAACAAGAGGGATTAAGTATCCACATTTGGGCAAGGTGACCTCAAGGAAGGTCAGGCGACTCAAGGAGAGTGCCACCACTAACCGTTGGTCGTGTGAAGAATTACCACGCGACCACACCCCACCTATTCTCAACTCGGTCAAGACAAGACATCGACCTCAAGGCACCCAGAAGAGTGCAGCCGCCCGCCGACGGGTACAGAAGGTGAGAAGGAACAAGACAAGACAAGACACACGGTCCGGAGTACCCCTCCGTTAGTCGGTCGTCCGGGCGCAAGTGGGGAGTCAGGATCGCTACGCGAATGAGCGAATCTCACTCCACCACAGATCCCTGACCACCTGCAGATGCGTTTATCCAAAAAACACCGAGACAGTGAATGGCTTGGTGAATGACAGATCAAGTGTAGACGCTTATACACGTAATCTAGTTAAACCTCCGAAGTTATGTTCGGAGATTATATAGTTGCCTACGCTAGAATCTAAAAGATTTTTGCAAGATCTGCGCAATGACAAGATCATGCAGATCTGCGTACTCGTCACAAAGGACGAGTACGTCGCCGATATTCGGTCGGCACAAGTGTTTACTGAGAGCGAACGCGTTCTCAGTAGCTCATCAATGAATAAGAGTGTCTTAGATGAGAAGACCCGGATTGAGCGATACACGTCTCAATCCTGGGTGCTTTGAGGACAAATCCTTTGTATAAGGATTTGGTCGAATTTAGGGATGTTTTCCCTGAATCCGTGCCATGCGAGCTGCCTAAGGACAAAGGCACTCGACACGAGATCGAACTGGAAGCCGGTTCGAAGTACAGTGTCATGAAGCAGTGTCCACTGTCTCGTGAACAGTTTACAGCGATTGACAAATTTTTTGCCGATCGCTTAGCGGCTGATCATTCGAGGGAATCAACATCCCCACACAGATCTCCGACCTTTTGTGTGCTAAAGGCCACAGGAGGTTATCGGATAGTGCACGCTTTCAACAAATCGAACGCTGCAACGGTACTGGCTCAAACGCCGATCTCAAGAAAGGATGTCATCACAGATGGTATGGCAAAGAGTACAATGTTTTCGTCCATGGCTCTGATGGATGGATTCTATCAGATCTTCGTGCGTGTACGGAACATCCCTCACACAGCAGTGAGCACCACAAGTGGTATGCTCTGGGAGTGGCAAGTGATGCCACAGGGGCTAAGAAAAGTCCCTGCAACGTTCAACAGATGTATTACGAATGTGTTGCGATTGGTGCGAGACTTCAAACCGATTTACTTCGACGATGTCGTTGTCCATAGCCGGGATATGGATGGAAAGTCAGACGTGGGGGTTCATACAATTCACGTCCGGACAGTTCTTAAACTTATGCGAGAGCATAAGTTGTTCGCGAACCTCAAGAAGTGTACATTCGCAGCGAATCAATTACCATATCTTGGCTGCATCAAGGGTAAAACGGCGTACGCCCTGATCCGGAAAAATTTAAGGCGATTAGCAGCTGGCCTGTGACTGTCGACATCAAGGGACTTCTAAAGCTCCTTGGATAGGCTGCGTACTTGCAGAAGTACTCGCGCAACTATGCCGAGATGACTGTACATCTCTATCGTCTGTTAAAGAAAAACGAGAGGTGGTCGTGCAGTACTGCGTGTCAGCACATCTTCGGAAGTGTCAAGAAGAGCTTGATACAATCGCCTGTGCTGGCAATTGCAGATTAGGACGGACGATTCCATGTGGTCTGTGACGCCAGCAATTTCTTAATCCGCTGCGCGTTAATGCAGTACGACTCAAGAGGCGTTAATAGCGTCTTCTACTATCAATCGCGACAGCTGCAAGCAGCTGAGCGTAATTATCCGGTGCACAGAAAGCAACTCCTAGCCAAGAAATTTGCACTGGATAAGTTTCGGGTATATCTCTTAAGAGATAGCCCTTCATCGTTTATACCGACCATGCTTCATTACGCACGTCCGTAAACAGTCCACACCTCTCGCAACGATTGGCGAGGTGGCTGTCTTTCTTCGCGGAGTACAACTTCTCCGTCGAGTTTAAACAAAACGACTTAATGTCGTCGCTGATGCTCTTCGCGTCGGCCCGATTTCGAGCCGACTGCTCTACACAACAGGAGGGGTGATTTCACTGTAGCGAAACTAACAGTGAATGTTCGGTCGTCGAATCTGCTCGACGACGTGCGAAAAGCATACGCACAAGATGATTTTCTTCTGAGATTGATGGATTACGTGCAAAACCATGCATTCAGGCTTTGAAAAGCTTGACGTCTCAATGCCGCTTTTTAACCGAATGGTATTCTGTTCGTGATGGACTACTGTACTATGTAGCATTCAACGACGACACACCTCGTGTCATCGTTTCGGCTCATAATGAATCGAGATTGCGCATCATGAATGAGTGTCACGATACCCTAACAAGTGGGCACCGAGGTAGATAAAAGACTACCTCGCGGTGAGTAGTGAGTTCTACTAGCCCCCCAGTATGAGTTTGTGTGCAAATACGTTCGCGCTTGCGAAGTTTGCCAACGGGTGAAGCCTATTCCTTCATTCCGCGCACCCTTGCAGCCTTTACCGATTCCAGCAGAGTTTTGGCAGTCCGTTCGATGGACTTCGTCTTCGGGTTTCCCATAGACGCTCACAATAAGACTGGTATTCTTGTGTTTGTTGATTGGTTCAGCAAGATGGTACATCTTGTTGCAGTACCGAAGTCAATCACAGCCCAGGGCTGTGCTTGTGTCTTCAACGATACAATCTTTTGACTTCACGGGTTACCCCGTTAACTCGTTTCTGGCAGGGGTTTTGCTTCACGGCGGAGTTCTGGCAATTGGTGTTCCTTTCACTTGGAACATGGTTAAAGATATCGAATTTTGACCATCCTGAAACACATGGTCAGACGGACCGCATAAATTGCGGTATCGAATAGATGCTTCCACGGTACGTCTACTCGTTTACGAGTTGAAGTGAGTTCTTGCAGATGGCAGGATTCGCCATCATCAACTCGGTGCATGCGTCGACACCGTATGCAGCTTTTCTCTTTGTAAATGGCTTACTCCATCAACGTTTACCCGCCTTTTACGAGTGTGACGCTAGTTGAAGGGGGGGGGACTCGCTCGAAAAAAGATCCGATCTGGGTTTGCTCACCACACGTCGACAATGATGTCAACGTGACGGATGCCGATGTCGATACGATCGATTTCTATGATGATGACGACGATGCTGGTATATTCAGCATCGACAATGACTGCCAAAGTGAGGACGATGACACCCTCACTGGTGAAGACAACGTTCTAACAGCAGTGCACACGAAGCGCACTGCTGTTGACAAGGATGAATCAGCAGAGGAATTTCTGCTGACTCGCGAAGCGGTTGTCCGCTTCGTTCAAGACTCTATTGCAGATGCACTAGACAGACAGAAGAGAAACGCAGATTAACATGGAAGTGCAAACGTTTTTTCATTTAATATAGGAAACCTAGTTTTACTGTCTACAGTAAACCTACCGAAACACGCAGTGACAGAAGTGGGCAGCAGTAAAGTACTGCCCAAGTACATTGGTCCATTATGTGTGTTGCGCCTAATGGGCAACGCATACACGATTGAACTGCCCCGTAAGATGCGCACGCATTCTACGTTTTACGTTTAACGTCTCCGCCCGTCCTATCAGTACAAGCCCGTTTCGAGATGCGAAGAACATCTCCGCGGTCGAGAGCCGTGACCACCTTCAAGTGGTCCCGTTTTAACGATACAGTCTGGTCGACTAGTGAAACGACCTGTTCACGCAGCTCAGCGATGTCTCGACGAGCTACAGCCAGCTCGTCACGAAGAGAACGAGTCGAACGTTTTTTCTCAAGTTGCGCGAACGCAAAGCGGCACGATCGTCCGAACGATCGTGCGTTAGGTAAATGTAATTATCCTTTACAAGGTCATGAAGCTCATAACTCCGAAATCGTTCATGAGCCAGTTCATCTAGCAACTGTTCCGTTACACGGTTCAGCTCGAGAACATCAAGCTGATCCGACCCTCGAACCGGATCAGGCGTTCCTGCCACCACCACATCCTTCGGTGGCTTCTGGCGGTGGTCAACGCTTCCTAGTGAAGCGTATTTTGAACCACCGCGATGTGAGTGGCGTCCTGAAGAGTTACCTCGTCCGGTGGCGTGGCTATCCACCGGCGTGGGACAGCCGGGAGCCTCGTGTCCAGCTGATTGTTGATGTTCTAGGTCTCGTCGAGCAATATGAAAAGACCCACCCGCTGCGTTCGAAAAAGGCCGTCGGAAATGACCTCCCCGAACGCGATGGACAGGGATTGCAAGGTGTCAATCCCTTCGGCCATCTCGGAAGAGATGCGCGCCCTCCAGTATGAATCATAAGGGAGGAAGGCTTCTCTTGGGGCACGGTGTGAGTTGTCCAGGCAACCTGGACACGAATAACCCCACGAGAGACAGTGTTATCCTGACAATCTTGACAGCCGGTGCAACTTGTATCGCACTCCGGCTGGGATACGGTTCTCATACCTGATGCAATCTGCATCAATTTTACCGAGCCAGGTCTCATGGTTAATGCACTCGATGTTATGGATGAGGGCATTCCATCCTTGCACCAAGGCTTTTCCGTCTCGAACACGGCTGCCATTGTACCACTGATGTTTGAAAAACGCATCAGTGAAGAATATTTCCTCAGCACGGATAGTTTCCGTGTAGGAATTAGGAGGTAAGATCTTCCTGCAATTGACCAACGGGATTTGATTTCGTTCGGTCGTCATGCAGGTTAACCAGTCCAACTATCTGGATGACGGCATCTACGGAGACTCCACTAGAGGAGCGTGGCTCAAGTCACTTCGGTCCCTAGCCTCTTGATTGATGTCAACATGAGCACTGACACGAGTGCCACCTCGTCTCCCTCGAATTACTTCGCTGGTGGTGATGTAAAGGTGCATCACCACCATCCCCACGCGTCCTATCGTTGGATGGACTTGCGTGAGGCGAGGATTCGTCCGAATAATAACTTAATCCGAAGATCTCGGAAATTACACCGCCACGTTGACCAGAGGCAGTCGACCTGGCTCTTGCAGAGTGCGCCCCGGGTGATACGGAGTCGTGAGGTGTCTCCTTCGAGTCCGATACATCATCCGACCCGCCAGAATAGATGAGCTCTATTTCAGACTCATCTGAATTGTGGTTCGCGATGCTCGCTGCAGACGCAGCGGATGTACCTGACGCACGTGGTGACTCACCACGCGGACTAATCACAACAACAGGCGACGAGTCTTCTGATGCTGAGGTGTGAGAAGTACTCTCTCCGGCTGCACACATGCGTGCAGCCGTCCTTCTTGCTGCTGCAGTAGCAGCTCGCGTGGTTTTCTAAACCATGCGTTTTATTGACAAACGAATGAGATTTGACCGACAAGTGCTCCCTTTCCCAGAGTGATCCAGCGATGGTCACCATGTCCCAGTCAATTCTGATTAAATCAACGGGTGATTGATATTCAAGGGGGGGGTAACGGGGTAGGCCGTTACATGATATTGACACCAAACGGTGTCAATAGGGAGATTTTCTAGCATTACAATATTCTACCATTACTATCCGATATGTATAATATTGAAGGAATATTGACCCCTCTTACGATGATATTCATGCGCTGCTCAAAGATTGGTCGATGTAAGACACATCAACCAAGGTTAGTGCCAATCGCTGCTAGACGGCGCAATGAGTGGTGAGTAGGTTTTCATCGTACGACGACGTAGTCAATATAGCTAGATAAATGTCAAAGTTATATAGATTGCTTAACTATATTAAATACAGTTCTCTTTTTTGTCCTTTACTCAACACACTTGTTGAGTAGATTAGATTCCTCTGCACGTTCTAGTGTATGTAAAGTTTTGCGGCACCCAATCAAAGGATACCCCGTTGCTGTCGCGACCAAAAAAAATCTTACCTGATGTATGTACTAAAGTAGTGATATTTTCAGTTTAATGACGAGATTGCCGCTCCCACACAGTCGCAGCTGCAGGTACGACGTAGCGCGGATTTGGTCTTTTTAAGGCTTTAAGTTTGGGAACGAAAACCGACGTTTTTTAAACTCGCCAGATACCCTGAAGGACCTTAAAGTAAGAGAAAGGAGATGTGACGCTCGCAATTTTAGCAGTCGACGATGACCGTACGAATGGGTCTGCAGTGTCAAGCTAAGCGATTGATGCTAAGTGATGGTCGATTTAAGGTGAGATTTATGCGGTTTGCCAAATCATCCCATACGACCCTGCGGTCGGTTACGCCAGCATATATGGGTGTGCATTTAAAATATCCTGAATAATTAATGCTGTTATATTCACCACACGCATTTGCTAATCCAACATCAGTATCTAAGATGACACCCCTGTCAATGACAGAACAAACCGTAAATGCTTAAATTTAATTGTTTACTTTCCTGTACAAACCCAATTATGGTGTATCGCAGTTTCCACCTAACAATCTTTTTATACCCAGTACATTGCATATTTCTCTTTTTACAGTCCAAAGTAAAAGAAGATTTTTTGTAGCAATTGGACGATCTGTAATTTATTTTCAAGCGACGGACTCATTTTTTCTTACTAAAAAGCGTGAGACGCCTGATACTGTTTGTCATTATGTAAATGATCATACACGAAGCAGTTAGCTATCAGAAAGAGTGCTTTTACAATCACATATTTTATAGCCTCTTAGCTAAAACTATGCAATTGTTTATCTGCAAATATTTAATGTACATCGTGTTTCGTGCTGACCTTTTATGCGGGTTATGAGAAGCAACACGTTTGCTACATAATGCAGAAGAAAGATAAGAAGACAGGTAAGATTTTTAACTTGTGCACGAAAGAAATTGGGTTTGTAAAATAGCGAATAATGCGCTTTTACAAGACTACGTATTTATGCGAACGGTGTTACTATACTTACAAGGTGCATTGGCTGAAAATAAAGCCAAATTTAGACCTTTGTCTACATATTCTTACAATCTACCCCTATATATATTTCTAACGTAGTACACGAGCACTAAAGTAATGGCATTATCTGATTTTCTCCTCATAATTTATGCATGCTGAAGGCCTTGTATGCGTTTTCTACTTCGTGATGTCTTTATCTTCTTCCCAAAACAAGATCTCGATAACATTATTTACCGATCAGTAGTGGCCTAAAGGAAATCCAAAAGAGTGTTTAAATATAATTTAAATGCGGTTGGCGCCAATACGACTCTAGTTCCCATTGTCGAAATAGTTCCGCGGTGGTAGTAAAAGCAACCTTTTTAGGTGAGCTGTGCGCATTATAATCAGCGAGACTCCCTCAATAGCTAAAACATCTCGTCTTTTAGCTACACTTTCGAAAGTACAGGAGTTACACGTACGCTTCGACAGCGTACTGGTCTTTAAATTCGATGCTGATCGGATCTTCAGATTTAGTTACTTTTAAGGTTTGTCATGTTACCATCATTATAATTTTTCAACTTGGGTCCATCCAATAACCGACGCTTTTGGATCCATATTTTTCTCACCCTTTCCAACATTTCAATGTGATCTTGCAAAAATAAGAGGTGGTTTGCGAGCATTGGCCTGGCATCTGAAGGCTTGTCTAGGCTACAGAACTCCGAGTACCATAATTAAATAATGGCACTTAGCTCAATCTGCTCTAATACATCTAGCTTCGACGATTCATTCGTTTTAGCAGCGTATTCGTTGCCTGAAAGTATTACGACAAACTGGAGAAGGTGAAATAGAAGCGGCCTTTTGAAATTTGCGCCTATTGACAAAAACGTTTATCGCATGATGAGTTTTTTGTACGACCAATCAGGCGTAGACAGGTACAGCACTGGAATTTTGTAAATGCGCATTCTTTGGCTTGCAACGATAAATTAATTGTAACGACCTGGCGCTGAAAAAAGGTTAATCTACTCTAGAGTTCTAAACATTGCTTCGGTACTAGCATTTAGGCACCTTATAATGACTGCATGTGGGCTTTAACGAAAGAACATGAATTGCCATTAGGATAAGGGCAATTATTTGGCCAGTAAACCCTTAATTTTCCTTATTTTGAGGAACCATGTTCAAATCAGGAATGGATATACAATAACAACATATCTCACCATTCTTCCGTTTATATTCTAATGTCGATATGAATAGCAAACTGCACTCCGTAATGAAAAAAAATTATACGCTTGCCTACCTTAAAAAATTCAACTACAAAGTCCAGATTTTGCTAGATATGCCAGAAAAATTACCAAGGACCTGATGCGGGATAGATCTGCAAAATTGCAATAGGGAGGTGTTGATGCTGCAGTGACAACAACTAGGAGCAGATGGCAGCTTAATAAAAACCGAATTTCTTAAAGCCCAGATATGCTCTTTAATGTTCTTTCCACTAAGAAACATAAACACATTAAAGACAGTATGTTATGCCAGTTGGTTCCATC